GATTCAGAATTTGGATTTTAAATTCTAATCCTTATTGAATTCTAGAATAATAATTTGTTTATGTTAAATACAAAATTTGGACTAAGGTCTATCGACCTTTCCTACCTGAAATTTAGAAGCTTCGTTCATGTGCTTTCTCCTACCATCACTAAACTAATAATTATTAACCTAGAAAGTGTTTTTAAGTTAATAACTACCAGTTGAATGACCATCCGTTAAAAAAATATTGTATATGTGATGAATGTTGTTGGATGATGCACCATATAGGGCTATGGCCAGAATCTAAGAGCTTTAGTGATGAAGGGATAGGACCAATTCCAAAGTCATGGAAAGGAATCTGCCAATCTGGAGATGCTTTCAACTCTTCAAACTGTAATAAGTGAGTCTTAAATATTCCCATCTTTTTCCTTTTTTGCCTTATCCATTTATTTTTATCTCCATGATGTGATAGTATACCTATTTTGCAATCATTAATAGCCAATCTTGGGTAAGAAAATCTTCAGGTGCTCAATAAACTCAACACCAAACATTTTTTTGTTTGTTGGTGTGTGTAGGTGAGGAATTTCAGTTAAACATAAAATAATTTACTTTACTATATATACATAACACATCTTTATTTTGCTCAATATAGCAAATTGTTTCCTTATTTTATAAGAAAACTAGATGGTCGATCCGTAATTATTTCTATTTTTAGTTTATAAAGAACCTTGTATAATTTCATAAACTAGGTTTTAGGAACCTATCGTCAAGTTATATATCACTTCATGTTTAGATTAATTTTTGGCACTTGTCTCTTGTCTTTTATACATTGACCTAACGTTGAATGAATTGGTATGTTTAGCCGTGCATATATTATAAGTTTGGTAAAAGAGGTCAATTTCAAGGGTTCTGGAACTTGTCTTTTTGTCTTCTATAGTTTATATAAAAGCAATTAAAAATAAGAAAAAAAACATATTATTATTATTATTGTACTTTTCTAATTGGTTGAAGAGAGGTTTTTTTTTTATAGGACAGGACCCATTGGGTCTCCATGCCTGTCATTTGGTGGCCTTTTGATATCAGTGTAATAATTCGAGTATTTGTCTATTTCAATCAAACCAAAACAAGTTATACTGACAAATAGCTAATTGTTTTTTGGATTATTGCTTTGCCATCTTGTGAACTTTGTAGCCTTCCAATGCCTCTAGTGTGCAGTATTACTTTTTTTGTTTGCATACCTGCATGTGTTGTTGATCATGTATGGAGTCCACAGTGAAATTTTAGGTGACCCTTACTTCCATTATTGCACGTATATTCTCATTAGTTGGACTCCAACCTTCACTAAGAAAGTGAAAGTTCAAACGGTCAACCTAAACTACTAGTATACCCGTTTGTTAGTAGTATAAAGTGGCAAAAAAGAGTATTATGTCATTCTTTTCTTACCTTCTTCTCAAATGGCATGGGGTGGGAGGAGAATAACCTAGTTTGTTATTATACTTGTTTGACATACTATTTCCTCTGTCTCTAATTACTTGTCTATTTTCCTTTTTTTAGTTGTTCCTAATTACTTGTCCATTTTGACAAATCAAGAAAGAACATATTTTTTTACATATTATACTCTCAATAAATTACTTTGAAAAAGGCAGAATTTTTTGAAAATCTTAAGTTTTTAATTCATCCATTTCATAATTAATAAGGGTAAAATGATAAACTCACTATGTCAATCATTATTTTCTTAATATGTGTGTTAATTCAAAAGTGGACAAGTAATTAGGGACAGAGGGAGTATCTTTTTAGTCTGTTTTAAAAAAAGTGCCTCTTTTCACTTTTAGCAACACTTTAGTTTCAATTTTCCACCTATCATGTTTAAGATCACAATATTCATGAGTCTTTTTTACTTTTTGAACTTCATGTGCAAGTAAATATAAGTCGAATACATTGAAACGAAGGGAGTATTTTATTTCTCCAAAAAGCATTTCACCATGTTATCATATGGTACCCAAAAAATGAGATTTTGTATACCTTTTCACTAGATTGTGTGGTTCACTCATTTATTTTCTTCTTTTCTTTAGAAGAGAATATTTTATTCATGGTGATTGATAGGGGTGAGAGAGGGTGGGGGATGTGTGAATCATGTCCTTTAATATCTTATCTAATCATATGCGACATCTCTAGAGTGACTCTGTGGGTTCAACTAAATCGATTTCTTTTCGTTGGGGGGGTCCAGTCAACTTCCCGTCCTAAAGAATCGTTGACTAGCTAGCTAATCGAACTAGTGAACATCCTATTTAGAGACAAACTGAAAATCTAGCCTTTCGAATTGTCACAATGCCTGTCTTTCAAATAAAGAATAGGGAGGAAGATGGAAGACCTTTATTGCCATAATCTTTCCTCCAACTTGTTTTTGCCTTGCAAGATAACGTCTTGTTCTTGCGAATAAATTTAAAAATGTTTATATGTAGTAAGAGTACACTTATTCTGAACTTACCGACTCTAAATGATAAATTTGCCTTTCTTAATCATGTAAGATATGAGAACTTTAATATTTATTCTACTATGCTACTTTGGGACTTCTTTTGCAGGAAAATAATTGGAGCTAGGTACTATATAAAAGGTTATGAACAATATTATGGCCCTCTAAACAGAACCTTAGATTATCTATCTCCAAGAGACAAGGATGGACATGGAACTCATACATCATCAACAGCAGGAGGTAAAAAGGTTCCAAATGCCTCTGCCATTGGTGGCTTTGCATCTGGCACCGCCTTGGGTGGGGCCCCACTCGCACGGCTTGCAATGTACAAAGTCTGTTGGGCTATTCCAAGGGAGGGGAAAGAAGATGGGAACACTTGCTTTGAAGAAGACATGTTAGCAGCACTGGATGATGCTATTGCAGATGGTGTTGATGTTATTAGTATTTCCATTGGAACAAAACAGCCTCAGCCTTTTGATCAAGACAGCATTGCAATTGGAGCACTTCATGCCATGAAGAAGAATATAGTTGTATCTTGTAGTGCTGGAAATTCAGGGCCTGCACCTTCTACATTGTCTAATACAGCTCCTTGGATTATCACTGTTGGTGCAAGCAGTGTTGACAGGAAATTTTTGTCACCAATTGTACTAGGAAATGGCAAGAAATTCATGGTAAGCCGAAACTATTACACACGTAACACAAGAAAACATGAGAAGAAACATGATAATCTATTCAATTTTTGACTACTCTTTCATCTAAAACAATTAAACGCTAGGATTAGAACATGTTTCCTAAATTGAAGCCGTTCTTCGTTTTGTATGTTATGCATGAAATCAGGGACAAACAGTTACACCTTACAAGCTGAAGAAGAAGATGTACCCTCTAGTTTATGCCGGAGAAGTGATCAACACTAACGTAACCAAAGATTTAGCAGGGTACTCTCCTTCCTTCCTTCCAAGTTTCAATATTTTTCACGTGATTATATCAAACAATATCTGAACTTTTGCAAAAACATTTCAGGCAATGTTTACCAGGTTCTCTTTCGCCAGAAAAGGCCAAGGGGAAAATAGTAATGTGCTTGAGAGGGAATGGGACAAGAGTAGGAAAAGGCGGAGAAGTGAAAAGGGCAGGAGGAATTGGTTACATACTAGGAAATAGTAAAGCAAATGGGGCTGAGTTAGCAGCAGATGCTCATCTTCTTCCAGCCACAGCAGTGGACTATAAAAGTGGAGTTCAGATTCTCAACTACATCAGTTCTACAAAGTCCCCTGTAGCTTATATAGTCCCAGCTAAAACAGTTTTGCATGCTAAACCAGCACCTTACATGGCTTCATTCACTAGTAGAGGTCCAAGTGCAGTTGCACCGGATATCCTCAAGGTCAGAGTTTACAATATAAGAAACTGAAAGACATTTACCTGATTTGTGATATATGCATTGTCTTCTAAATAAAAATCTGATTTTGTGCTCTTTCCACAGCCGGATATCACGGCACCAGGGCTGAATATATTGGCAGCATGGAGTGGAGGATCATCCCCTACGAAGCTAGATATTGACAACCGTGTAGTTGAGTATAACATACTCTCAGGTACTTCCATGTCTTGCCCTCATGTTGGTGGCGCCGCAGCACTTTTGAAGGCTATACATCCCACTTGGAGCAGTGCTGCAATAAGATCTGCTCTCATAACCTCAGGTACCTTTAACTGCCTCTGAAATTCGTCAGGGAATAGAAGTTGAACTCTTCTTTTGTCCATAAATTTCCACTCTATACTGATTTAATCAATGTATATTTTCAGCTGAATTACAAAATAATGTTGGTGAGCAAATAACTGATGCATCTGGGAAGCCAGCAGATCCATTCCAGTTCGGAGGAGGGCATTTCAGGCCATCAAAGGCAGCAGATCCTGGACTTGTCTACGATGCTTCCTACCAAGACTATCTTCTCTTCCTGTGTGCCTCTGGTGTTAAGGATCTTGACAAATCCTTCAAGTGTCCTAAGAAATCACATTCGCCTAGAGACCTAAATTACCCGTCTCTGGCTATTCCAAATCTCAATGACACTGTGACTGCTAGAAGAAGATTGACAAATGTTGGTGCACCAAAGAGCATTTACTATGCCAGTGCCAAACCTCCATTGGGATTCTCTATTGAGATTTCACCACCCGTCTTGGCTTTTAACCACGTTGGCTCCGAGAGGACGTTCACTATCACAGTGAAAGCTCACCGTGACATGATGCATAGAATTCCGAAAGATCAGTATGTGTTTGGATGGTATTCCTGGAATGATGGAATCCATAATGTTAGGAGTCCAATTGCTGTAAAATTGGCATAAATACTCAAACCCATAGCAGTATAGGGGTATATAATGCTCTGTTTTCCCTCAATTGGTGCACATAACTTTACTTTAGTTACATCTGAAGCAAAGATATCTCGCTAGAGAATAAAATCAGTGCATTTCTCATTTCTATCCCAATGAAGTCTCAGTATGAACTTGCTTCCCTGCAGTAGAATTTTGAGAATGTAACATGGAAAAAAGGTGTCACGAGCCGATGAGAAAATTGAAATTCAAGATTTGATTGATGACATGAATACTTTATAAACCATTATCTCTGTACAAGAAATTCAGATACAAACATGTTAAGACAAACAGAACTAAAACGAATCTTTGTACTGAAAAACCCAATGATATCAGTATAACGGGGAAAATCTCTTTCACTATAAGGTGTAGTATGGTTTGGTAGTCTTGCTTCCACAAAAGAAATCAACTGCGATGAGGTTACACTTTCATCAATCTTGTTGACTTCTAGTTATGTCTTGTATCATCAGCCAAGTAGAGTCTTCGTATTCAAGACACGATCTCACCAGGGATTTATCAACACAACTACAGCAACTTGGATTTTATCTGACATGAGTATTTTCCAGTATGTATAATATCAACCAAGTAGTTATTGCTCTTCCCCCATGCAAGAAATATAACTTTTATTCACTCCATATCTCTTCTCACTCTTGCTCTTTCACCGTTGAAATGGACATATTTCCATCTGCTTTGATACTTTTTGAGAACCAGTTTTTGCTTATCTTCTTGGCCCAACATCTGGAAGGCTCTTGCAACTCTTCCAACTGTATCTTCATCTGGTTTCACCCCTAACTCCTCCATGTCTGCAAACACCTGAATTTTCAAGAAGCATGCTTCAAAAAATAGAATCAAACTTTCAACAGTAGAGGAAATCCATTATGAAAGATAGAAGTGAGGATAATCCACAGCATCACGCTGTTCTGCAGAGAGGGAACCGAACAAACAGTTATACTTGAACCAATTAGGAAATATGCAAACAAATTTCATTTACCTCAACTATCTTATCTGGCACATGATGATGATCATACAATGAAATCATCCTGGAGAAGAGCCGTTTCGAGACAGACCGCGTGCTTGTATGCAAAATCATATTCCATAACGTTTCTGCTTCATCTACCCTATTGTCCATATCAAATGCTAGCAGAAGTGCATCATAGGTTGCCATTGTTGCACCTTGACCTTTGCTCAACATCCACTTAGCAACCTAAGCATAGAGTGTTAAAGAGTATCATTTAGTGACAAATGGCTATTCTGAAAGACTTCAGTACACAATCAAATTAGTCACCATGATCTGTCTAACAATTAAGATTCACATATACTCAATTACACGGACCTCTCTTTCCTACCAAGCCGTTTTAAACATGCCCCGACAATCCAGAGGAGTAGAACTAAATCTCAGTATCACCAAGTTCAGTTTCTACTTCCATGTAGCCAGTAGTCAATACAATCAAATGATACTTGTCAAATTGATTATGAACTACAACTACATCAAGGGGGATGGAAGAATTGACGTCGATTGAGTAATGACAAGAGATAATCCACACAACTGGGAAAATTAAAAGTGCAACCGCATCAGAGTTCTTTGTCTTGCAACTTCAAGAGGAAATGACAAAATGAAAAAGCCTGAAGCAGAGACTCCTTGTACTAAGTCAATTTGATAAGTAGTTGAATACGATACTTATGAAGCTAAGACGAGGCTTGTAATGGCATAGCTTGTTGACAAATGATATTTATCACTACAAAGCTTCATAAGTAATCAAGGCAAGATGCTATCAAATATACCGCCCATGCTAAAAATAACAAAATAAAGTTCCCAAGCATCATACTTGAATTACTCGTTTCCACAGCCGCTGTTGCCTTAAGATTCTTAGAGCCTTAGCAGCTGCAATCAATGGAAACTCTGCCTCCCATGCAATCCATTTATCTAATGCACCATAAACAGACTCTTTCTCATTTGGAAGTCCAGAAATCTGTCCATTTACATATCACAAAGAAACAGAAGGCAACGTCAAAATACGTCTACTTCAGGTATACGAGAAAACATACCTTTCAGTGTGCAAACTATAGTGATTAGCCAGAGTAATTTGAAAAAACTTACAATCCGAACAAGATTCAGCGCTTTTTGTCCAGATCCAGCAGATTCTCTTTTCTTCCATAGGTGATGTTCTACTTTTCCAGCCTTCTGAACTTTCCTGCATCCACACCGAGGATATAATGTTTTAAGAAGATAAAAAGAACATATAACATGAAATTCAGCTTGACATAACACTCCATAGGATATAATCAATTACTTCAAGAAAATGAGTATCTGTTATTAAACAAATGTGTAGCATTACTTACTTCTGATCAGCAGTATCAGAGATAGTAAGAGAAAGTTCACCCTGCTTCTTGGAATCTTTAAGAGCAGAGGTTACATTTAACTGCATATGATAATAGAACCTTAGACACTGAGCAATAATCTGTATCAAAAATAGTCAAAAAGGAGCATCTCACTCCAACCTTATCCGATAACCCGGTTGAGTTTATTCCCTTAAGCAAAATGTTGCAACTGAAGAAGTGAAATTGTAGAGAACCTCCCATTCTAGCACAGCAGTTCTAAAAATAAATTCTTCCCAAATATACGCATCAGGGGACTCTCATAAGCAATAATGGTTCTTAAAGAGGCAAATTACAAAATTTGTAACTCAAAACTATTAGCATTAACTGACTTATATGTAGAAAAAAATTCCAATATGTATTACCAGTTTCTGCAAGAATGATAGATAATGACGAATAGCTGAATACACTTGGTTGTGGAGCCAAATCTCGTATTTAACCAGATAAGGGTCGACGGACGGGCCTATTATCCCAAGTTTCGAAGCTGCATCAGCCGATATTTTGTCATTAAAAAAACCCCGAGAAAGGAAAAACTGAAAACTGAATCGATGCAGCAGAAAGTTATCATCTGTTGGGTCTTCAAATTTTAGCTTCTGTCTTTCATATAAGCTAAAAATTGAGAAGAAAAATCATAGATAATAGCAAGCAACCATAAATTCTTAAAAAGCTCATCTATGGCTGCAATCCTTTTCTTTCCTCAATTTTTAATTTTACTTTTTGGTTCAAAGCTCGCTATACTCTACCTTCCCCAATGAGATTACAATAGGTATGTTGTTGTTGTTATTTTTTGGTTCACAACTGTGGCTATAACAATTAAGAGGCTAGATTAATGTAATCACCTCAACTTAATGACAAAAAAGCTGATAATTATAGTACTCAGACAGCCATTAAGCTCATATACTTGATTCAGTTTATCATTTCAATGTGATAACAATGAGATATTTAACAATTGTAAGGAAAAAAACAGAGTTCTGTGCTACATAAATAAAGTAAGTGGGAAGATAAAATCAGCATCATTCAGTGATTAGCTTCATCAATAAAAGGGATTAGAGAAAAACGCGGGAACATACAGTTTCATTTCTCAGTAGAAACTACTCGGAGTGAGTTCGCCGGATAAAGAAACTGGGTGAAGGAAGTGGCGGCCGGCGTAGAGTTGTGGTGGTTCGATAGATTAGACCGGAGAAGAAGCTCGAGAAGCTATCGTCCTTTCAAATTGGCGGGTCGGAATGATTTGGAGTTTGAGATCCGACTTTGAATTATTTGGGCTGCCATTGTTCCAAGAAATTGGGCTTATAAGCTGTAATATAGGACTGGCCCAATCCTTGCAGCCCACTGGTTATTATTTTTCTTGGTCTTTTTTTTGTAAAAATTATGTAAACCACATAGTATAACATACAAATTACATCATATCCCTACTCTTTCATAAATTACAGAAATTCCTTTATTTTAATACCTTTCGGATACATAATTGGGAAGCGCGGATACTTTAATTTAGAGATTTCTGTTATCAATTTACTGCGCTAAATTAGGGACTAAAAATAGAAAATATAATTAAATCCCACAAATCAAGGGTACGTTTCTTTCTTCAAACAATTAGCCTTTCACAAAAATGTAACAGAACTTGAAGATTTAAATTTCAAATTGTGTAATTGTGTCTCCCATTTCATCCAAAAAATTGCAGAAGATTGATTAACAAAATTTTGCATCAAAAATTTGTGAAGATTCGAAATGAATATTTCGATATTGTTAAGGCATTCGGGAATATGGGAAAGTGATGTTAGTTACGAGCGAGTGGTTGGAGAAAATATTTCGTTTGTGAATCTTATTTCAGCCATTACAGCTGAATTGGTTATTGATGAATTGAAAAAAAACATCGAGATAAGATACGTTGTGGAAGGTAATTAGTCTCCATTGTGTATTAGGAATGATATGGGAGTGAAGTTATACATAGAAGTGAAGAAACATGAGGTAGGATTCGGTTTGTATCCACTATGCATTGATACAACGGATAAAAGTGATGAAGAGATACAAAATTTCGATCCAACCACAAGTGCAATTGTGTGTTTTAAAGGTGGAAAAAGGGACGCAAAA